GCTGAACAGCCTATCAGTCTGCAACCGAGGAAACCTTATTTGGATTCCGAGTCATAAAGGGATAGCCGGAACTAACTGTTTGGTGAGCTAGTCTGCAGCTGCTTCTAGAGTAATATTAAAGAAATCCTGGAACGAAGTGAGTCACCATAACATAAAGGGCAGGTAATAATATTGGCAATAATTTACAGGCAAGCGCCAGGCAAAGTTGCTAAAGGACGGTTACAGCCTCATTAGGTTGAAAAGACTACTCGTGGCATTTTATACGAGCATTGCAGACTCAAGAAGCACCTATTCAGGAGCCTGTAATTCAGAATGAGTCTGTGTGAAAGAAGGGATAGCACAATAGACCTAAGGTCGCAGTGCAAACCTCAATTTATTTTTAATTCTAATTCTACATGTGCCAAAAGGTGACTTATAGAATAAGTAGAACCTGACAATAAGATTGATCGTTCCAAATGAAGGTCCAAAAGGAACGAAGAAACTGTTAAACCTGCAACTAGAAGCTTAAACCATGCATTTCTTACCTTTAAGTAGCGTTTTCCCACCGTTGAAGGTAGAGAAATCTTCAGAGCAAACTCGGCAGGAAGATTCTACGAGAAAATGTAGATATCAGAGAATGGGAACGCTACTATTTGTGAAGTTGAAAAGTTGTATGAAAAAAGTGATAAACAATAAGAAAATAATAACAGAGACAGCTAGCTCTACTATATATGAGTATCATCGCTTAGCAACGCGGCTCCAGGCAACATCAACTAACTTTGCCTACATACTTGTACAGAAGCCTTTCCCTCTAAAGTGCACCACCTAATACCGTTAAATTATGCCTATCAAATACTTGAGGGCAGGACATACGTGCTTACGTCCTGTAAGCGGCAGCCGTTCTAAACGCTTGCGTGAATGTAGTTATTTTCAAAATGGACGCACAACAACAATATAAACGTAATAGTTACTGTGCAACGAAACAAATTGCATTCAGGCAACAAGCGTTGTATGCGCGCACACACACACAACAAAAATGGCATTGTGCAACGTCAACACAAATTAAACATCATTTGTGCAATTGAGACGTGAGATAAAAATGCAAATGACGCGGTGGCGCAAGCGGAAACGGAGCTGCGCGCGTACTGAGCGGAAGCAGCTAGTAGGAACTGTGTACCGTAATTGTAGGTGGAGTAAAAGCAGAAGCTTAAAATACACTTAACTCGTTAAATCGTTATTTGAGGCAACATAAACGGCGCTGCCAGACTCTCGGTAGCGTTTAATGGCACGATGCGCGGGAGTGTTGTTGGCGGCTGAACTGTGAGGTGTGGAGCGCAGTAAGAAGACTTTCTGGGAATGGTGCTGGAGTGGCTTGTTAAATATGTGCTTAGACCCTGGAAAAATATTGATACTGGCGGTCTTTAAACCGTTATCAGGTCGAGGTTATCAGCGGAAAAAATACAATAGTTCACATATAGTTCCACAACTCAAGCATTCAACCCTGAAGACTCCAGCTTACTTGCTTGGCACAAATTACAGTGACAGCAAATTGTAATACTACACTTTAGCCATAATAATCATAAAACCAGCAGCAGGGACTACATGCGCACAGAAAAAGTTGGCAGCGCTACATTGATACGACACTAAAATGCATTGAAGCGAGGAGAAGTCAATATGCGCTGCACAAAGAAGGTGAAAAGTTGACCCCCGCCTGACTTGCGAGCGACAGCAGGAGCATAAAAATGCAAAGCTGTACACAAAATTAAATGCCACAATGAAAATCCTAACAAATTATTGCATGAAAAGAACGACTGGGTGGAGGCGAGGCTGGGGAAAGCAGTTAGCAAGGACAAAGCGCTTGGGCCATAATTACACTTGAATGCATGCTTATTACAACAATAGGGAAAGCAAATAAAAATCCAACAGCAACAACAACAATAGCAAGACTTAATAACTGAGTTGTATGCAGCAATGTACGCAGCGCAGGCGGCAACAATAGCAACAGCTACTTGGGGATGCAAGTGCAGTAAGTGGCAAAGCAGTAAATGAAGAAACAAGCGACAGCGCACACACACATGTGAGTGCCAGCGCTGAGCTTGAAGGACACTTACGGATTAGAAGTGGCAGGGCGACAAGAAAGTGGCGTTTGGTTGACTGGTGGGCGTGAATAGTGGGCGTGCGCAGAGCGCGTGTAAGTTTAAAGCAAATATATTGCACGACACATTGCATGTAATTGCACTGGTGTGTAGAATGTTTATAATGATTGTGTTGCGCGTTATTTGATTATAATTAGAAGGGAATAATAGCGGATTTTAGTGAACCTCACATCCCTAAAATGTCGGTTGTACGGCGAAGAAGATGAAAGTTTTCCTGCATTTAAGTTGGGAGTGCTTTACTTTCAATTTTAATTTTATAAGAAAGCTTTTGCATTGAGTTATTTATAAAACATAAACTTTGTTTCGATTCCTATTTTCCTTATTTCAAAAATCTTCATACGCCTCCATTTGTGGGCACTTTTAAGTTATTGTAATGTTGTTATTGATATATTCAAAAGCTTGTGTATATTTTTTCAGTGTTACAAATAATAATTATATGATTGATGACAGCTGTTAGCGAAGACACGGATATACACAAAGGCGATGCGAGTTTATTTAAACTTTTCCACAAAATAAGTGTTTAGGAATGCAAAGTAAGAAAATATTTTATTGAAAAATGCTGGCGATTGATTTTGGCAAATGGCTTCCGAGAAATGTTGGTGGATACAATTATTAATTGTTTGCCTTCAAGATGCAATAAAACTTTTTTTTATTTTTTCATCAACATTTACCATAATCTCATTTAAAAAAATTATTCTCTTTTCAATAATGCACGCATTGCTTTATATTCAATAAAACTTAACCTTAAGGGATAGTATGCACTTGCAAGCCAGATAAAACGGTTTTTTGCGATTTTTTGAAGAGACTTTTTATTTAATAAACAATTAAAAAACATGTGCTTTTAGAGAATTTAAGGGACCTTAAAAATCGTTGATTCATTTTGAAAAATTTTGGATACCCTTGAGCTCGTAGCCGAACTCCTGGAGGACTAGCGAAAAAATGTGTATGGCTGTGAGGACGAGTTTTCTGCCTTAAAGTAATACAAATACAAAAACCAAAAAAAAACAAAATTAATCAGTATAGATAAATAAAAATAATGATTAGTGATAAGTTAAAAATTTGATTTTTGACAAAATGGCAACTCTAATCTAATGCTCTAATCACGTTTGATGTTTGCCTGCGCCCAATGCAAAACTGACTGAATTATACGCGTCAGTGTTCGCAATTAAACATGTGTTTATTTACAAAAACAAAAAATATTTTCTATATCGGCAAAAACATTTAAAAACTTACTACTTGACCCCTTGAACCTCATTTTTCCTAATAACTTAATATTGCTTACAATTATAGTACAAAATTTAATAGAAACAAATTTATTTTATCATTTCATTTCTTATACAATTCACTTAACTTTGCAATTTCTTATACGATATGCTCACCGTGAAAATCCCATTAAGTAAATTACTCTCGTAGAAATTTCTAAATCATATACATAAGTTAGCACCATAGACTGTAAACTTTCATACACATTTAGTTACATATTTATGCGCGCATAAAAAACTAGCAACATTTTAAACTTTTTCCACGTAGCTTTACGTTTAGTTCAGCGATTCCGCGAATTTTACTGCGCTACATTAGCGCACACCAGCTTGTCCCCCCGTCAAGCTCATTTATACATAGCTGCCGTCAACAAATATTAATAACCTAGTGTTGGCGCTCTCCACACACACTCACACATACAGACACACGCACACTGACATCTTCATCAGTAACATGTCTCACCTGTCAACGGCGCACGGTTAAACTTTCGCTTCCACAAAGCACGTGCTGAGCTGTTCGTCCCCACACACACACACATGTATTATGTATTTGTAGCGAAATATCGTATTTACATATTAACATAGTGCAAATGCCGTTATATCCATGTATATTATGCTTCTCAGCACCCACGTCTTTTCGTACACAATTGAGGTTGATACAACTCAAAACCTGAGCAAAGATTTGCGTTGAATGTAGCGTAGGAGACATAAAGCACCAGGCATTAAAGGCCGTAAATTCATTCATAAACTCATTGACACGTCAAAAGGCACTTGTAGGCTCAATTTGCTGTTGACAAGGGAAAAGGATTACTATTTTACGGTTATATACTCCTATAAACTGATTTTGTTATTCTAATCGCATTAACCTTAGAATGCGATGTGCCACTTCATCTGCGTAATTCCTAAGACAGTAAAATAAGCCTACCTTTAGCAAAAGTGAGTTTTGCGACCTTGTTGAGCAAGCCCAAATGGAAAATCATGCAAAAACCTATTGCGGTGACTGTAGGAACTATAAGTTAACTATTAATTGCAGCTTGTTAACGTTACATTCAAGGCTAACTTGAAACAAATACAAAAGAAGCCAAGCATTCCATCCAAAAAAATTTGGATGAAATTTTCTTGACTGCCACGAAGTGCATTATAATCATCGCTTAGTCGAATAATTACCAAAACGTTGACATTTCTAACCATTGTCAGCTTTCTTTTTGACCGTCTTGGATGTAAGCAGTTCTATGGTGTAATGGTTAGCACTCTGGACTTTGAATCCAGCGATCCGAGTTCAAATCTCGGTAGAACCTAATTCTGCGAGTGCTAGAGTTTTACTATTTGAATACGATGAATATATTTATTTACTAACCAACATGTTTTTCCAAAAAAAGAAAATTTTTGAAAAAGAAAAAAATTTATTTGTTAAACGATTTAGGAATTTTTAAGGCAATTATCCATAAGTCTTCAATTCAAAGGAATTCAATTTTTCTGGTGTTTTTTTATTTTTTATCTTTTTCATAGCAATTAAATTTTACTGACCTTCTTTCCTAAAAATAGACATAATTTTCTTCTTTCTCTTTTCTACTGTTCTGTTGTGCCTCTTTTATTTATGTTTTAGGTTCATGAACTCTTTAGTGCATTGCTCGCTGAACACCAGCGGCGACATGTTCGGCAGCTATAAATACCGCAATATTTCTTGATGTTTACTTTGCAAGTGATGACGACACATTTAACGCCAGTTTCTGCAGAAGAATACAAAAATGTCACGAAGAGAGATTTCGACACTGTAATGGTGAGCAGTTGAGTAAGCGTGGGAAATTATTGATGGTTGGGTGAACTTCTGAAGTTTTCATTAGTATTTTAAAAAACTTCTTAAATTTTTTATTGTGCAAAATATTTAAACAGCAAATATTTTGAATCAATTTCAGGTTTACGCCACAACTGAATGAACATTGAAAATAGCACGTGCCAAAAATGTGCGCATACTTTTCAATTAACCAGGATTTGTCATCAATTTCCCATGAATACATTGAAATGCAGAGATCGCATTAGCCGCCGCTAATTTAAATTAAATTAAAATGTTTCCAAGTCTTTTTGTTTCAATAATTTCCAGCAGTGCTTAAAAAACTTCGGTGTTTTCTGGTGTGCTTCGATACCCTAGATGTCTCAACGCATGCAACAAAACATTTCCCACACAATTTATTCAATCTTATTCAATCTTCCTACTCATAGTTCAACGGCATCATTCATAGTCGCCGCTAAATAGCAAAATTATGTTAATGAATATTCAAAGTAATCGAAAATTGTGTGATTTCGCTGAAAACGCCTACCATAAACCAGCAAGCAGAGTAGGTTTTTCATGTGTTTTGCAAAGGAAAAAGCAAAAAAAAAAAATTATACTAATAATAATGAAAGTAGCTATAAATATTAACAGACAAACTTGGGAAGGCAATGTTCTTCATTATTTAGTGATCTTAAAAATTTAAAGAAATTTACGTAATTCGCTTAGAGACTTTTCCGCCGCTTCCATTGTCGCTTACTGCCAAATTGATGATGTTTATCTCAAAACACAGCGTAACGGTTTGATGTTTTATGTTGAAAGCGTTGCTCGGTTGCGCTGTTATTGATGGGTAATTGCGCTGCCGATAATGTCTCTAGCGATAATGGCTATGATGAATATGAAATTCTATTCAAATTGCCCAAAGTCACCGTCAAAGTCAAATCAATATGTGTGTGCGAAATTAAATTACCACAAATTGCACAAAGTGAGTGTTGCAAAGTGCCATCAGATGCTGACATGTGTGTGCCCACTCACACTTTAAGGTTAACTTCCGGTTGTTTTTGGATATAACATACATATGTATATATGGTTGCTTGTATGGCTATAAAAGATCATTCAGGGTTTGCATTCAAATCTGTAATGGTTGGTGCATGTGCTTGTTTATTGAAAGTTTGTTGACACTCTTCAAACTTTGTTGACTGACAAAGAGTATTTGACCAGAGTCGACGCTTTCTCAAATAATACCAGCTGACTAATTTTTCATATATTAATACAAATCTTTATTATTGCCTTCAAAATAGACTAGTGAGCCAATACAAGCATTGGTAGATATTAATAAAATTTTCCTTAAACTTTTTATTAGCCTCGACTGGGATAACCTTCAGTGCCTTCGGCGAATATTTATTTTTTCTCTCTTGCGACCTCTACTATTATACTTAATTAAAAACAAAACATAATAAATTATTGGCTCATTCTTGGTGTCCCCACTGTAGCCGTAGACAAATTACATTCCTAGAAGCTCGTGTGATTACGTACAAATATGTGAGTAATGATTTTGCATTTCTTCTGCTTAACTTTGTTGTGTTTTTATCGACAATTTTATTTCCTGTCAATTTGCACATTTTCACTCTCTTACAATTGATTAAACGCGCCGCGTTTTGTTTGCTTACACACATCATTCATAAATCAATAGGAAATGCGGAGAGTGTGAAAAAAATGGCAAATAGGCACAAAAAGCCGATATTTGAATGATGCGGTAATTTCGTAAATTTGTGTTTATCCACGTGTATGAGCATATATTTACATACATATTCACGATTCACACATACAAATAATTGGTTAATCAATTGATGTTGGATGGTGTGCATGCAAAAGTAAATGGGCAATATAAAACTGTCCAGTAAATACTTTAGCGATGATAACAACACTATATCTTCGTCCAATAGGTGGTATACTAGCAAATCATGTGATAGTAGGTGGACCAAACTATTCCACTTTGGGGTAATATATTTTAAACTTTCTAACAAAATGCCTAAACTTCTGAAAAATGAAACCATTCCAAACTTCAAACCAGAAGATGTTATCTAAACTACTACTTAACGCCTCCTAAATTTCCTTACTATACAAAAACAACGCTACACAAGCTCTAGCAACATATCCTGCTAACAAGCGGCAGCATGTTGCTAAAAATTTCACATTTGTTGCTCGCAGCATTTTTTGGCCGCTTCGGCGCAGTCTCAAGCAATTGTTGCGGCTGAGCGTAAACCGCTCTCTGCTCTCGAGACTAGGGTAACGAAAATGAGAAAACGTCATTAATAACCGTTACATATACGTAATAAATAAATAGAATTGTAGAAACATTTTCTGTTTGCTTAAAACACCAACTGCATGCAGCCGACAATGGCATCGTAATTCAAATGTCATTCAAAATCAACACACTTGTTGCATGCAATACAACAACAACATATGTATGTAGTATGATACAATAGGCAAGTTGTTGTTGTTGTTGGAAAAAGAGGATTTTTACCTTAAAATAAATGTTTCGAATGTTTTTATGAGAGCATTGTTGAAGCTTCATAGCATAGTAACGGTAAAACTGAAATTGCGGCAAACTTCAAATTATAGAATACATTTTCGATATATTTTTCTTCTTATAAAAAAGTTAAGAATTTTATGCAAGCAAAACTACAAAGTTTGAAATCTCTCAAGATTTTCTTTCCAAAGTTTAAGAGCATAAATGATTTTTGAGTTTTTAGATTTCGCTCAAATTTCGACACTATGTATACTATACAAAATTGTGAAGACCTTTTATTGATTGTGGGGCACACCGAGTGTGACAACCACAAAAAAAAAATGCGATTTTTGGGTATTTAAAATTAAACTAATGGTTTTAAAATTTATTTAAAGAATACACACAAAAAATTTTGTAGAAAATAATTATATAGTTTTCGAGTAATAAACGGCGGCGCTAGAAAAAGTCCTCCACTGCTGCAGTCATTTCGGTCTTATTAGTGGATGAAATTTAAAGAAACAAAAACTACTATTTGTACAATTATCTATTGTCGAAAAAAAATTAGGTATAATAAATTTTCCAAAATTTTTGGTCATTTTTGGCTTGCCAAAATTTCGAATTTTGATCTGTATGTATATACAGAACATGTAGGAATAATGTGATTGTGTTCCGATCATTGGCACCGAGTAATCACTCAAGCACATTTGGAAAAGTTGTTTCGAGAAAAACGGTTTTAAAGATAAACTGAAGGAGCTGATTGAACAGAGCGGCTACATTTTAGAAGGCTGTAACTCAAAAGCTATTTGAGATATCGATTTAAAATTTTATATGTAATTTTTAAAGGTATCTGTTTTTTTATATTTACAATAGTTGTGACCCTTAAACCGCAGTGGAATAGTACATATAATATAAACCGCTCTTTTCATGAAAAATCTCATTTCCGTGATTTTTTAATACGTAGGAAAGAACCTGTTAAAGAAAAAACAGCATACACAGCTTTTGGAATTTCCATACAACCATACATATTTGTAAAAATGTATATGAGTACCCAGAGCCACCACTTAAACAGCTGTAAATGCTTTCCATTACATTTTATTATCGGAAGTCCTTCTATGTTTAGCATCTAAAAATTCTAACCACTTAATGTGGAAAAGAATTAGCGTTCCCTCAGCAATAAATGAAATAAAATTTCATTGCCCCAAATGTTCAAAATTTGCATTTGTCGGTGGTCATAAAAATTGTATCGCTGCACAATGGCAATCATTCGCCAAATCAAAAGCGACACATTTGCCATTTTACAACCACATTTAGCAATCATAATTTAATGAGACAACTGTTTCTACGATATGCCAGCAAGTGAAATAAAAATAAGAGCAGATAACAATTCGACAAACATCTTTTACTTCTTAGTTAAATATTTGCTTTTTTTCGCTACTGTAGATTCGAACTTTATGACGTCTGCTAAGCAATAGAGCGCGCCGATACTAAAAATAAACGCACAAGGCAAAGCATTGCGCGCGATAAATACTCACCACCACCCAGCAATTCGACAAAAGCCACTACAAACAAACACACCATGCCTACTTACATTGATGGCCAGAGCAACAACAACAGCAACCAGGTTGAGAGAGCGTAGTGCTGCTGTTTCTTCGTTGTGCAACGGTAATATCTATATGCTCTGTAGCAGCTCCGCACCATACAGGTTCTATGGTGTAATGGTTAGCACTCTGGACTTTGAATCCAGCGATCCGAGTTCAAATCTCGGTAGAACCTTCAAAAACAAATTTTTTATAAATAAAAATATTATTCGCGGAGATTCTAAAAAGTCATGTGTATGTGTTATGTTTAGATTTTAAAATATTTCAAAAATGTATGTTGTACCCACAGCAGGTTTATATAAGATCTATAAAGATATAAAATAATTAATAAATTGGAAAATTTGGCTGTTAATGAGAATTTGGTAGTTTGATGGATATGTGTGTATAACTACATAAATATGGAGTAGAACACACTCGTCCTACCATGCTTATGGTTTTATTATACAAAGTTTGACTTTTTTCTGAAATGTTATTAGAAAATTTGAATAAACTCAATTTGCCTTAATACGCTAATATATATAATATATTTATTTATCAATGTACATACAATACATAGTTTTATTTTTTTGTACTTGAAATACGGTTTTTTTTAATTTAAAATTTTCAGCATTAAAACTTGAAAAAAGTATTATCTGTTGATATCTCCATCTGTTGAAAATAATTGTCTATTCTCTGGTTTCCATTTTGGCGAAATTGTCAATAACTGGTTCTATGGTGTAATGGTTAGCACTCTGGACTTTGAATCCAGCGATCCGAGTTCAAATCTCGGTAGAACCTTAAGTCATTTGTAAACTTACTTTTTTCGATATTTGAAGTTTTAGAATTTTTTAAATTCGAAACAAAATATGTCAGTAATGATAAAGTCATGAGAGATATATCGAAAGCTCTGCGAAAATTAAATAAATTTTGTAATAAAAGTATTTATATCAACACTAAAACATAAAAAAATTTCATTTAAATAAAAAACCGCAATTTATATATAGTTCACACGATTTCAGACGCCTATAAATATTATTTTTTACAACTAATATACATTTCATTTATTTTTTATAAATTAAATTCAAGCTTTTATGCAACTAGTTACTTGCGCAATTCAATTAAATATCTGATATGCTAAAAAATTCCATATTTTCTTTGCCTCGTTTCTAAATTCTGCTTTCCATTTATTATTGTAAGGCATGTCTGCGCTTCAACTTTAATAATAAATGCCATTTAGTGTGTTATCTGCAGCCACAAAAGCTAAAACTACTAAGCATTTAAATTGCAGACACTCCTGACCAGTGTCTACCTGTCACGAGCATACACATACACACAGGCAAAAAATGCAAAAATCTTCTTCAGGTTGCTGCCAACGGTTTTGCATATTATTTTTGGAGTTTTCGACTGCATTGTAGTATTATTCCATACCTCTAACCACCCTCCCAACAATGTCTGTCCTACTAAAAGCCACTTCCGGCTGACTATCGATTGTTTTCTTTCACCTGTGTGTGAAGCTTATCGCATTCCTTATGTCTACTGTTCGCCTGTTTACTTACTATTTCCTCCTTTTAGCGCGCCGGGAAGAGTTCGTGACTTCTATTAATTTACCTTGGTGCTGACAGACTTGTTGTTGGCCTTTACTTGTTTTCTCACAATCAAAAATATTTGTTCACATATGTATAAGTACGTATAAATCGGATGAGATAGCAAAAGAGTGTATATAAATATAGTTGGTATATTGTTTTTCTATACGTTTATTTTTTTATAGGTAACCCACCGGAAATTGAAAATGAAATCTAATGGGTCTACATTAACTTTTTCATTAAAGAAGCAGGGATGAGTCAAAAATTATTGCATGCCAAAATACACACAGTTTTACTGATTTTGCTCTTTAAATCGAGCAAAAATCCAAAGTTAATTACAGTATTGTTAAGCTCAAAAAAGCTCACATGCAGCTTAATGAAAAAATACAATTGAGTTAGAAAAGGTGTTTCCTTGATAAAATTTAGGTCGACTTATCGCAAATTTATCAAAAATTTTTAAACTAATACAATATAAATTAATAATAAGCTTACGCTTTCGAGGACGTAAAGAGCGTTATACTGCAAGATTATGATATCTAACCACTTTTAATACTTTTCTGCTTAACTGGCTATAAATTATTTAATATATGGTAATATATGTACATTTATACACATATTCATAATTTCATTCAAAATCCAATACAAAGTTTTTATGGAAAACAAATGCGCTGTAGCAAGTAGATGTCGGATATTAACAACTTTGAAACTTGCCACTGGTATTGGGTTTAGTATACCCAGATTAGTACTAAATACAATCTCACGTGGCGCACCTAGTGTGAACGCCATAAATAATTGATTTTTCGAAATTATTTTAATTAACTGTTGCTGCTGTAATAAAAGTTTAGGAGATATACATAATTATAATTATTTATACATAATTCATGAAATATCACAAAAAATTTAAACGTGGTAGAAAAAAAAACCACAAACTATTATTAATTTGCACAAATTACTTTAAAAAATGTCGGATTTTGTTCAGAAATGAGATAATTTTTAGCTTGCCAAAATTACATTATTTCATACTGCCGAAAGCTGTCGAAATATATTCATCTAACAATATAAAGAGAAAAGATTTGATTGCTTATTTGTTTGAATTAATTAAGCTCCGAGACTACTTGACGAATTTTAAAAATTAGTTCGCTGTTGGGAAGCTACACTCTCTAGGATGAACAAAGGCTATATTACAATATATTTTCAAGAAAGTTAAAACTTCTTACTAAAACGCAAATAATGTAACCCAGGGTGTTAAGAAATTACCTAAAAAATTCCTTACATCTTCCTTGTACGCTGTGAATACTATTGATTATAGAACAAAGTAATGTACTATGACTACGTCACTACAATAGTTCTTTTATAAAAACAAAAATATATAAAAAACCCTTCATTTATTTGTACCTTAGTAATAAGCCTTATCTAAAATTAACAACATACAACATAACATTTTTAAGACTGAATCAATACCTTTATACAACTTTTTGAATTATTCGATTCGGACATTCCATTCAAAAGATATCACGAATTTAAAAATGTAGGTATTAGAAAAAAGCCGAGTGGTGAGCGAGGGCTGCAACATAATATGCGATACACATAGGTTGCTGGCTACGGGAGGGGAGTCAATCCGAATCGGTCGTGTGCGGAATGGAATATAAATAATATTATAACATCTGAATAGTGTAACATCTCATCGTCTATATGAGGACCCCAAGTGAAGTGGCTACAGCGGCTTACACAGAAACAAATTTCAGAGGGGTTTGAACTCCTAAAACCACTCTTTGCATATGCCCCTGATCTGCTAGTACCAAGTAAAGAGAAAAACGACAAAGCGATAGAATGATTTGTGTTCAAGTTACAACTGCAGCCTATTTGAAAAATGTAGCTTTTAGAAAAACACGTTAAAAAAAATTGATAGAGCTAATTGAACTGAGCGCTTACGCTTTAGAAGGCTGTAAATGAAAACATATATGTAATATTCATTCAAAATTAAAGCATGTTATTTTTAAACTATAAACCATCGAAATTCTTAAAAAATAAACATAAAATTATTCTTTTTGAAACTACACACTAGCTGTGTCCCTTAACACAAACTAATTTTTCTTTAACTGCGACAAGCTTTTATTTATTGCTTTTGTCTGCTTTATCACTTCTACACTTTCTTCAGTTTTTCTAAATTTATGAGAACAATTAGAATGAAAAGCACATTTGTCATTGCAACTAATTTATTGCTACTAAATTTTTATTCATTCTGTGCGTACTTATGTTCGTATCTCGCGTAGTTTTGCAGCAGCAGCAGCAGCAGCAGGTTTACGCTTTCAGCACTTATTTGTGTCATAAAAAGTTCATTGTTCCACGCATGAATGCAGGGTGCTCCAACATAAAACATAAGTAGTTAAAAATGTATTACGCTAAGCTGATAAGTGGCGCGCGCGTATGTGTATGTGTGTGTTGGTGGCACACGCAATGCAATTAAGTTGGTTTTAAATATCCCTTAGTAATGCTGAAGAGTACTTCTCCCATGAATTTTCTAGTATTAAATGCAGATCACAGTTATATTTATATTGGAGTTTTAAGTTTTAATTTTAAATGCTTGTTTATATCACAAATTTTTTTTCATTTTTCTTTTTGAAAAAAATAAATTCTGAACTTAACTCAGTACAATTCTGAGAAAAATGCTTGTATACTTTGTGGTTTACAAGAATTGAGGAATGAGTAGGCGGGTGTGCTTTTGATCTGCTGCTTATCGTTTTCCGTTGATTTTGCGTTTCAGGTGACATTTCGAAGGATGCTCTGAGTGCGTATTTATATTTCTCCAATATGCGTAGTAACAGCTGATCAGCAGCAGCGATGCTAGAATTCTAATGATTTGCGCTAATTGCGTCCATAGTGCACCGCTGCACGAACGTCGAACACATTCGGGCTGATTAGAGGATTGCGGCTCGAAGCCTTCATAACAAACACAGATATTCGCTGCAACGCAATAACCGTTAACACAACCGCCGTTACATTGTGGCACACAAATTTCGAGGCCTTCATGTTGTTGCAACATCAAATCTGGCGCACAGGTGCATGAGCCGTTCACGCAGGTGCCGTTGCTGCAGCGCTCGTGGCAGCTGAGTGGCTGCGTATTACGAAGTGTTGTTGCGATCGGTTCGCAAGGTGAGCGCGGTCCATTGTTCTTGGCAAATCCTTCATGGCATTCACAAAACTCTGGCCTAACACACACGCCATTTATGCAACCCTTGCCACATGATGGCTTGCAATTCCAACCGTCTCCCTCATAGCCGGCGCAACAAATACGTATAACTTCGTCTTGCTGTAAAGCGTCAATTATTTGCAATTATTTGTTATTTTATAATATATTGTGTTATTGCCACTTGAACACTCACTTGACCGCGTTTCGTGCAAAAAACGGCACTAACTTCTAGTACTGGCGCGATTCCGACTAAAAATAATACAATTAAATGTGCTTTGAGCATTTTACAAGGTTAGGTGTTGACAATTAACCGGTCGAGTGGCAAGTGAGCGACTACGCGAACTGCAAATGAATTCTTTGCGGAAAAAATGCACATGCACTGCTCGTAAGGGAGAAAGCTAAAATTACAGTGGGGTATTCCCAGCCAACACAAGGTAGTGGGAATGTTTCTCATACCTCATACAGCGCATCTTGTAATTATACCCCTCACAGGGTATATTAATTTTGCCACGATTTGTGTAACATTCGAAAGGAAATATCGGCGATCTTATAAAGTGAATATATAAAGAATCAGCATGACGAGCGGACTCGGTTTCATCATGTCCGTCTGTCTGCCGGAACTAGTTTCTCAGTTTTTGAGATATCGATCTGAAATTTTGTACACGGCCTTTTTCTACCAAGAGAACTATAGCATATATCATTTTCCATCTCTTACCTCAAATATTTTAAATTTTCGGCATTTAATGGGAATCAAGTGTTAGTTCCGTTCGAACTTTGCCTATCTTACTTGCATTACATTGCATTTGAAGGAAAGTTCGATAAGCTCTACTAAATATAAATTTATATCAAAGTCTTTAGTTTAGTTTACTATTAGGGTGGGCAATAAAAGCTCGAAAACTTTCTTTAAGCGTTTCAAGAGAAAGTAATGCTTAAAATACCGCTCTAAAATTGATATTTGGTTTTTTAGTTTTAGAAAAAGCACATGTATACACACACATATGTTTTGTAGATTTTTAAACTTGCATTGCAGGTTTCAGTGGAATAAGCTTATATAGAAGCATAGTCAAAAGCTTGCATACCTAAGTGTTACTTAGTGCAATAACTGCAAACACGCAAATTGTAAAAAATAATTTATATCATTAATCGACAATTAACTTAATTCGCACGCCATTTCGATATACACATATTTTTTACTGGTTTGAAAGCTTTCAACAACAAAAATGAGCTTTAAGTTTCTAGCCCGCTTTTTCAGCTGAATACTTTACGAGACGTGATCTCTTTGTTCTCTAATCTCTATGGCTGCTTTGAATTGCACTTTTTATCAAAGTGTAATTACATACAAAAGTACATTATGCATTTTCCTATTTGTATGTATTCACAAACATACATATGTTTCCGAGAATTCGCTTGTTTAACATATTTGCAACTAATTCTTGTATATATCTATAATTAAATTATTCAAGCTTTGCATGCGAATGTAAATAACTATGTTAAATAATAAGGGAGCTCCCGTTACTTGCTTGAATTGGCTACGTCATGGAAATATACAGAGGGAAGGTACTTTTTTTTGCTTTTGACTCAGATATCTTAAATGAGTGAGTTTCACTTGAGTTTCTCAAATATTCACGGTTAAGTGAAAAACGTTTAGTTGATCACGTTCGCATTAGAATTAAAGCATATCGAGGGGTTATAATCGAACGTACATATCGAAAAATATTATCCGAAAACTTGAAGTTGATGTGACACATACCTTTGGAGATATTTTGACTAAGTGTCGGCTTCCAAAATTATAAACTTGTTTGTTCTCGAAAATTTTTCCGAAACGGCTAGATCGATCGACTTGAAATTTTCGCACAACCTCTTCATATATAAAGGGTGTTTTTTTATAAGTATGCTTGTATTTTACTAATTCACTTAGCTTAAGCTAAGTAATTTACAAGCTAAGATACTACAAATCTAACGAGTTTTGGGTCACTGGCTCTGTTGCTCAGCGGTAATTCACAATAACTGCTTTGCGTTTTTGTTTTAGAATTCTTTTTCTATTCTCTTCTTCTTCCTATTTACTGTTATTAGCTGACATAACTCATTCGCTTTTTTTATTCTGCAACATTACAGTAAGCCTTTGGCTTTATTATTTCAAATGCACTCACTGCTTGCTATTTGCTTGCAACTGACAATGCAGTGAAATATGTGATTTCGAAAACACCCCCACTTTTTTCTCGCTTTCGACGCTTTGTTATACCCGACTGCATGTTACGCTAAGGGATAATGTTGCTCCAAGACGAGCGGTCATAAAGAAACTAATAATGTGAAGCAACCAAAATTTATGTAAAATTATGAATGAGTGTGCGAAATAGATCAGCAAAAATGATTCCAACAGGCATTTTTTCGTTCTTATATAGGCGAAAAATTGTCATTATTATAGTTTCTATTTCTGGACGATTAAGAGGCATAGCTAGTGTGACAGCTTTAAAACAGATGATTTTTGGGAATTAAAAAATTGTTTTAAATTTTTTTAGGTACATATACAATATATTTATTTAAGAAATACACAGTAAAATTTACGCATAAAAAAATTAAATAACTTTCGTTAATTATGATCTCCGTCGGAGCTCAAAAAGATAATGCTGCAATGATAACGGCCGTCTCCGTCCATATAACCTAAAAAAATATATGTCAATACAATAACCTACGGTCGAAAAAATCAAAATTTGACAAAATGGCGGCGTTTTAGAAAAAATTAAAATTTTGTTAGTTTTTTAACTTATCGGCTACCCTTTAGCAGCCTGTAACTCAAAATTTTTTTAAAATAATCATTAAAAATTTTAGTAGGGTTTTTTTTTTTAAATCATAGACTGTCGAATAATAAATAATTTTTTTCAAAATCTCACATACATTTAAGACTTATTCGAATGGTGTTTCTAGAACAATCGGTCTCGCCCCAAATCAGCGCTCTCCTACGCGTTCCAACTTACCACTGTTGCATGTAAAACCGTAATTCTATGTCTCTGCTACATGCCGACACCGAACTGTTGCATTCAGCTCACACGCATTTTTACCCGGCGCTCCTCCTGTGATAGCTCACAGCACTCATACGCCACGGCATGCAACCGCTACAAACATTTACATACTTATTTATGTGTCGTTGTGCGAGCGTTTGTGGGCGCGAATGCCATTGTTTGCTGCATTAATGGTGTCAGCGACTTTTGCATTTGTGTTGGCATGAACTTTATTCCTTGTGATTAACAACCCGCAATCATCTCATTTTAATTAACGCAAATTTATGTTGGCTTCTTCTGATTTATATCAAAGCCAAGCATAGTTCAACGCATATTTGCCATGAGCATGCAACTCCAAACGAGTTGTTGTTGTTGTTGCCTTTGTTGCATTCTCTCCATTTTGTTTGCTGTAAGTGTACACATATATTTATAGCTTGTTATCTGAGGAATTTTTTGGGTTAGCAACTTTGCGCTTTGCTAGTTCAGGTTATTCATTAAGTGAAGAAGAAGAAGAAGACAACACTTTGACTTTGTGGCTTATCCAATTCACTCATTTATTTTCTTTGCAGAAATTCTATGCTGCTTTCGTTAGCACGAGTGTTAAAGGGTATTAAAGTAAGTGTTACTATTGGGCAAACATTAATGAGAGTAGAAAGACATAGCGTAATTTTTTGTAGAAAAATGTGAGTAAGCTTTAGACAATGGAACACTTAAAATTTGTCATGAATAAATAAGTAATGGTGAAATCAAACGAAATTAGCATTAATTCACCTTATTTGATATAATGATTTATCTAAAATGCTTACACTTCAACAAATTTGTGCTATGTAGCTTTAGAGGCTCAATTATATAAGCACTGACCGCCTGATAATTCCAATATCTTGCCAAATCAAAAAAATGTCCATACAAGAACTTGATTTTGATCGGACAGCTTGTATGGCATCTATATGCTATAGTGGTCTGATATTGACGATTTCGATAAATGAGTAGCTTCTTGGGTAGATAAGAGCCTTTAAAATTTTTTTAAATCGGTAATTCGAAAACTATAGTACGAATTTGCGTGTATACAGAGACGAGCAGACGCACATGGCTAAATCGACGCAACTCGTCACGCTGATCATTTATATATATACTTTGTAGAGATTACGACGCTTCCTTCTGGCAGGTACAAACTTCGTGGCACAATCAAAATATTTTAGCATTGCTATTGTTGGGATAAAAGGCACATAAAAATACGGAAAAAAGCGGATCACATGGAGGAAAGAAATTTACTCTAAAAAGGTTTCTTACAACTTCAATGTGACCCTAAAGCTTAATCCTTCTTCATCTACACTTTTGCTGTTAATAAGGAATACTTTTAGTTTTACTTTTCAAAGTCTCAAATATATGCGTTTACTTATTTTCACAGTTCACAAATGTATCCTTTCCATATAAAGTTTCACAAATATCTTTCAAGTGCTGCCTGTCACTTCCAATATTTCCATTTAATCCCTGTTTACTTGCAATTCAGCGAATATGTTAGTTTCTGCAACCTAACATCATCAATCATGCAATAAGAAAGTGTTGGTAAGTGATTGCAACATCAATCCATATTTTTTTTGTATTGAGCAACAAAGTTCTTGAATTATTTATATAGAAGACTCACAAAGAGATAGTGGTGTGATGCAGTAGTGAACCGATTACTCACGAAATTTCGTTTTTGTATTGAATTGAAATTAATAGAGCTGGCAGCGTGTAAGTGACACTTGAGTGCAGAGAAAATGCAATAGTAAAACATACTCGTATGAATGGCTGTCCTTTTTTAACCTTTATCAAAATTATGCTACAATGTAGATTCAAATGAGTTGATTTTATTGAAGTTTAAAATATTTTTGAAATTTGATAAAGTCGCTTGTTATAACTTCGTAAATAAAAGTGGAATTGAAAACCCAAAAACTTTTATTATGCATTTATTGGCAGAAATATATAACTAACACACACAAGTTTTCTAAACCGAAAATAATTTTTCTTAAAATTGCTTTTTCATTATTTTTGGAAATTTTTTGTTCACTTTAACATCACGACTGTCACTTTGTTAGCATATTTGCTTTGAACATAAGCTAAAGAATAATCTTTTCATTTTTGAACTTTTTTCTGAAATAACTGTTACTACTTATTTACAGCTTACGCCGCTATGTCTAGCAGTTAAAGTAAGCTTCTGTGGCCATCAGTTAAAGCGCTTGTTTTGTTTGATTACCAGCTTGTCTGCCAACATGTCTACACTCTACACTTTAATTACTCCGTTAAACGCTTGATAGCTCCTTATATTACCGCATTAAAATGTGGTCTTAAACACTGCTGCTCAGTATGCGAGTCAAAGTGCTCTCCTTTTTAATAACAGTCGTAAAAATTGAAATGTGTAAAAGAGTT